GGTGATGAGGTCATAAGTGAGGACCTGTTATCAGTGGGATTAGTACCATATAAAAGACCACCTTCCTCTATGGGATGCCACAGTGAGAAGACATCATCCATGAACCCGACAGTGGGCCCTTAGCAGACACCAAATCTACTAGTGCACTGATCTTGAACTTCTCTGCCTTCAGAGCTAGAAGCAATACTTTTCTGTTGTTCATAAGCCACCCAGTTTATATTATTTTGTTAATGCAGCCCAAAGGAATTAAGACACTACTTATTTCCATACACTGAAGCTTGGGTAAGTCAAATGACTTTTTCAGGGTCACTGCGGTCATTGGGGACAGAGCTAGCCCCTCGATAAAAGTATTTGCATTCCAACTGAGTGCCTACTACTAGTACCTCACTCACACCTCTAACCCAAACTCTCACTCATATAAGACGCCAACAACCCTCCTTATCTGCCTCCAGTGCACCCTAAAACCAATGGCCACACACAATTCACAGTAGATTATCTACATTACGATCTTGTGTCTCACATTAAAAAACTGATTATTAGCACTGGACTTTCAAACCTTTACTCACAAAGCAATAGAAAATGTCACAACCTATAAAGAAAATATGGAAAATTCATGTTCAAAGCTTTTATTTCTTCCCTGGAGTTTTTCTTTTCTGTAGGGGTACTGTAGGGGTAATGTCAAACGTGATGACAATTAATGTACTTATTAATACATGATGGCTACCCAGGAAGGAATCACGGAATCCTGCAGCTCTGCAACTTCAGCAATGACTTACAAAGAATGCTTACCTCAAACCTAGCACATCTTTCTGTATTGTATCATGTTCTAGAGGAAGGAGAAAACTGGAGGATTTTTATCTATGAACTCTGTGAATCAATTTATTCAAATAATCTACACCAAGTACTAATTTAGCAGAAAGCTAGCACTATACACTAAAATATTAGTTCTGGAGAATATGTTAATGTTCATTTCTTTATTGTCTATTTTCAGAAGGCAGCTAAAGAAAAAGATGGGGTGAAAAAGGTGGCTTTATATTCTTCCACAAACTAAGTCAGAAAACAGACATAACAGAGCAAAGAAGAGGAAACAGACACAAGTAAAAACAAAACAGAACAAAAAAAACATGAGGATATATCCCCAGTGCTTAGAACGGTGCTGGGACAAAAAGTCATTCAATATGTAGGTTTTAAATGGTTGATAAATATATTTGGAGTCAGACAGACCTAAGACCAACCACTCCACTTGTGCAATGGATCCCATCCTGTCACTGTTTGAGCTGGTATCCTGCCTCATTGATCCTTCCCGCTTTATAGAATCACTTGTATCAGCATAGAGCATGCTGAAACAAAATATTAATATATTACTTCATAATTCACTACTCAGCAATGAGTTATGAAACCATTACTTGACCCTACATTCTTTCTTCAGCTGTTGTCCGATTTTTGTTACCTTTGTTTTTTTAACCATTTTAAGTCCTTAAAATGGCTTTCTGTAGTTTTGTTCATATTCTCTCTTGAATCTACTTCAATCATGCTTCCAGCTCCATCATGCCACTGAAATAACTCTTGTCCAAGGTCAACAAGATTATCTTGAGATGATTAATTTTCTGTCCTCCCCTCATTCAATCTCTCGGTAATATCTGATCCTCATGATCATGCCCTCCTTCATAACACACTTCCCTCCTTTGATGTCCTGGACTCTGTTCTCTCTTGGTTTTTCTAGACTTCCAGCTCTTCTGTCTCAGTCTCCTCATCTTCCCAAACTCTGAAGTTGTGACTTCTCAGTGCTAATTTCTTAGAATTTTTTTTTCCTAGCTACAATCTCTCCCTATATGTGATCTCATCCAATCCCAGGGCTGATATACAGGCTAACAATTTTGATCTCCAGTCCTGATCTTTCTTTTAACTTCGGATTTATATATCCAACTGCTTAAACATCTATAAACTTAACATGTCAAATATCAAGCTCTTACATTTCCTTCCCAGACCGCTCCTCCAGCAGTTTCCCCATCTTTCTAAATGGTACTTCTATTTTCCATTTGCTTTGTCCAAAAATCATTGACTTCTGATATCTTTGACTCTTCCTCTCACATTCTACACATCCAATCCACCAGCAAATTTTGTTGATTCTTTCCAAGTGTATTCAGAAACCAGTTACCCTTCATCATCTCTCCTGCTATACCCTTTTCCAAGTCACTGCCACTTGGATTATAGGAACAGTGCTGAACTCCTCTATATTCTACTCTTCATAACTTAACCTCAATTGCTACATAATATTAGATCACAGCACTATAGACGCCTACATCTTCCATGGCTTCCTCTCTCATTGAGTAAAAGCCAAAGTCCTGAACAAAGAATATTTAAGGACCTGCATGATCTGAATCCCCTTCTCCCACCCCACACGCCAACTTCATCTCCTACCTACTGTATTTTACTAAGCTATTTCAACCATATTGGTCTCCAAGCTATTCTTCAAATATACCGCAAACATTGCAGGCTCTGTGGCCTTTGTGCTTTCTGCGTCCTTTCCCTAAATTTCCTACTTCCAAGAGGGGCTGCTAAGTGCTTACTACATCACTCCAGGTCTCTGTTTAAAAATCACCCGATTTATGACACTTTTCTGACCTTCTGCATATAAAATAGCTCCTCAGCCTATAATCCCCCATCCTCCTCTACCTTCTTGACCTTGCTTTGCTTTTGTTATTACCATGAGACATATATATTTATTGCCTATTTTTCTAGTGTCCGTCTCTCGTAATTGGGTAAGAACCCGGTTTTGTTCATTATTGATCCACCAGTGACCAGAATATGCTGGTTCGTATTAGGAACTCAGTAAATACTGGCTGAATAAATGGAACTACTGCATTGCCATCATTATCAGTATTATCTTCATTACTTAAAGGCTTACGTCTAAAGGACTGAAGCCGAGCAACTGCATGCAGTGTGCTAAGATAGAGCAAAACACAACCTAAATCCAAGTTACCTTGCTGGGAGGGGCCAAAATGCAGACAGGACTGACTGGGGAGGCTGATAAGTACTTTAGGTGCTAAGGTCAGAATAGGAAAATCATTTCATACCTCAAGATTTGGATTTCAGTAAAAGCCATTAGCATATGGCCATAAGCAGCTTGTATTCCTTACAGAGCACATCTATTAGAAGAGCTTTGTGTTATTCTATTTCATCTCTAATACTGTAACCCACTAAAAGGGAATATTGTTTGAATAATTAATAGAAGCAGAAGTTAGAAAAAGTCAGGAGAGAATGTGACTTTCTTAAATCGGTCATTTTAAATCTTCTATTACTATTATCTTGTGTATCAAACACCAACAGTGTTTTCCTTTTTCTTATCTTGGAGCTATTTCTCTATCATATTCCTGCTTCCAGTAGAAAGAAAAAATATGCCCAAATGGCAATTTTAATAATCTAGTCACAAGGGTTCAAAATCAAATAAATAAATTTCAGGGTCTTATCATTTTGTATTATAAAGCAAGTTATTACATAGATGACATTTTCCTTTAGGAGATGTGTGGATTCGTGTTTGTCATTTTTAAAATGAAAATAGAATCATAATGTCACATTAAATGACCAGATTTAGAATGAGAACTTTCATTACATGTGAAGAGTAAAAAAATACAATAAAACAAGATGATAGGTAATATACAAGGAAATGGGCATGAAGGGATATTAAATAAATCAATGGAAAGTGAACAAGGCACAAATTTAATCATAGAAGGATCTAAGAATTAATGTGTCTGTTGATAACATTTCAGCATATCTTTTTGCTAATCAGAGTAAAAGTACAGATTTGCATAGGAATAGAAACTTGAGCATAAAAATGTAATTCAAAGAAAGGGCTTTGTTCAGAAAAGTAAAACACATAAAATGATCTTAAATAGTGTGGTCTTCATCTGCATTACTTGTTTTATTTCCTACAAGTCCTTATTTTTCACTTTTATTAAACATAAACAAAATGGTTTGTAATTCCTTATGATTCAATGACTTGAATTTAAGATTAAGTTAATTTGTTTAAAATTTTTCTTAGGTCAGGTGAGGTGTCTCATACCTATAATCCTAGCACTTTGGGATGTCAAGGAAGGCAGATCACTCAAGTTCAGGAATTTGAGACTAGCCTGGCCAACATGGTGAAACTCTGCCTCTACTAAAACTACAAATTTAGGGCGGGCGTGGTGGCTCACAGCTGTAATCCCAGCACTTTGGGAGGCCAAGGCAAGCAGATAATGAGGTCAGGAATTTAAGAACAGTCTGACCAGCATGGTGAAACCCCATTTCTAGCAAAAATACAAAAATTAGCTGGCATGGTGGCACCTGCCTATAATCCTAGCTACTCAGGAGGCTGAGGCAGGAAAATCGCTTGAACCTGGGAGGTGGAGGCTGCAGTGAGCCAAGATTATGCCACTGTACTCCAACCTAGGTGACAGAGGGAGACTCCATCTAAAAAAAAAAAAATTTACATTAGCTGGGCGTGGTGGCAGGTGCCTGTAGTCCCACCTATTCAGGAGGCTGAGGCAGGAGAATGGTGGGAGGTGGAGGTTGCAGTGAACTGAGATCGTGCCATTGCACTCCAGCCTGGGCAAGAAGAGCAAAACTTGGTCACAAAAAAAAAAAAAAAAAAAAAAAAAAAAAAAAAAAAAAAAAAAAAAAAAAAAAAAAAAAAAAAAAATCCTCAGTATATTAAGATTCTAAAATCTATTAGAAATTAAGATAAACTTCATAATAAGCTAAAAGCAGTATTATACGTTAGATATTGGTACTGTTTGAAAAAAATTTAGTTAAATGTGAAGATAAAACAATACAAATGGAAACAATGAATGAACTTTAAATGTCTAAATACTAACAATTAAAAGCAGACATGGGAGCGCAGAATCCTATGAAAATTGGTTCAACTCTGAGACTTATCTAGAATTTTATTTCAAGTAATTACCTCACTAGAATTTGAAAAAAACAACAAAGAAGCTGCTCACTATAGGTTATCCACTTACCTTACAGTGGTCATACTGGAGCTGTAAGGCTGGAACATCTCCTCCAATAGGCATTTGTTTCTTAAGCTCTTCATCTTTCATATTCAGCCATTTGATCAGCTCTTCTAAAGACATCAGCAACCTGTTCCACTTCTCAGCACTGGCCTCCAAATGGGCCCTGTGGAGAGAGAATAATAATCACAGTTAGAAATTCAAATGACATTCACGAAATTATCTACCTTCCTTTAGCATAATAATCATAGCTGACCAAGTAATGTTCATTTCCACAAGGCAGACTCCTTGTAAAAACATATATATATATATATATACACACACACATATATATGTCCATTTCCTGTAAGAAATAGATATTTTGAATAAACTATAATATTCAGAGGATTTATTGGTAATAACTATCAAAATTTAAAACAAAGACCTATACACCATGAAGGCTTTCAAGAAGGTTATCCATGATAGAATGTAAAATTACAAACCAAGTTTTGATAGTTTATGTATAGTATATATGCACATCCAAATATATTGTTCTCATTTTATCTATATACATAGAGAGAAAGAGCAGGAAAGAACCACTAAGAGCACAGTATGTACCTAATTTTTACCTATTTTTACACCATTTAAGGATTTATAACAGGGTCGTATTACTTTTCTTTCCAAAAAAACACCGAATAATTTTTTTAGAAATGGAAATTACCAATGTCTTACTTTCTCTTGTAACAAAAACTCCTTCTCTTGTAACCAAAAAGCAGAACATTCGCAATGACTCAAACAGTTGGAAAATAATAAGGCATTGCTTGGACAGGACACTATTTGGCTTAAGCCTGACCAATGTCTAGTAACAAATACATCTGGGTAAAAGTCACTGCAGTACTTTATATTCTCATTTAAAGGTGAGGCCTTTGTTTCAATAATAATTTCTGCATTTAACACAGAAATGCACCTTCAGATTCTTAGATTATAAACTCCATAATCAGGGATATGTTTAGGAAATACATCTTTATGTGGTTAAGGTTCCAATAGGAGCAAAGGCCCTTGAGAACAGGAGTATGAATCAATGCACACATTCTTTTTTTGCTCTCGGTAGGGCCCTGGTAAAAGTCCACTTATCCAGCCTCAAGCCCACTGGTGAGCTGGATTTTAAAATATGGATCAGTCAGAAACAACTCCAATGACTCAAGGAATCAAACTGGACTTTACTCCTCGATTCTCCATCACCCCAGAGAGCAGACTGTGAAAGTGAACTTATGCTTTAACTTGGGAAAATGGAATTACTGTGACTGTCCATGATCTTTGAGGTTTAGTGTTGTAACAAGGCACATATCTACCTTGCTGATTAAAAAAAAAGCTAAGTGTGAAATAGTAAAAAATAATTTTTAAATACAGAAAGGAGTTCAAAGCATTTTGTAATTCTCTATGAAGAGTGTATGATTAGAAAATTTATTTTCTTGTATTTACTGTCAGTTCTATTTATTCCACAGGTGTTAAATTGACCCTACTTTATAAAACTGCACTTTAACAAGGTCCTGATTCTGCTTGAGCTCCAGCTTTTCTGTGTTCATATTGAGCATCGGCATATGCTGATAAAGACAGACAAGTGCCTTGTTAGACAATTTCCAAAGAATGATAGTGATGAGAGAAGATGACTCATTAAGGTACAAGAAGCCTCTGTTGACCACACTTTATATCCTCTCCTAAGAGGATATAATGTCCAACTCTCAATTGGACATTAGCCTGATGATCCCCACCTCCATAAATCTGCCCCTCTACTCAGGGATATGGGACCAAGCAACCAGGCACAGCCACGACTGTCTTTCAAACCTCTCAATAATTTCCTTTTTGGATATCTGATCTACTTGAGCCCCTGTCTCAATGCCAATAGCTCTGCTGTGGTTAATTTCAACAAATATTCCCTCATTAATCACAGTAGGTGGAATTCTCAGCCATAGATATTCAATCATAAGTCTTTGTTAAAAATTCATGTTTTCATGAGAACAACTATAAATCTCTAGCCTCTAGTTGAATTCAGAAAACAATAACTACACTTTGTCAACCATCATGCTTGGCTAAGAGGAAACAACATTGAAGTTCCACATATGCTTTAAAATACCATGAACCAGCATTCACACACAGTCATATACAAAAGGCCAATTACCCTGCAACCTGCTTATATTACTCCATTGTCAGCTAACTAATATAAAACTCTCAAATTCTATGTCTTATTAACAAAAAGCTATGTATGAAATCATAAAAAATAATTTTTAAATACCAAATGAAGTTCAAAGTATTCTGTAAATCTCTAAGAACAGTATGATTAAAAAATTTATTTTCTTTTATTTACTATCAGTTGTATTTATTCCACAGGTGCTACAATTGACCTCATTTTACAAAACTGTGGTCCTGATTCTGCTTGAGCTCCCGCTTTTCTGTGTTCATATTGATTAACTTTAGGCCAAATATGTAATTACCTTTCCCTGATAACTAATAATTTCATTTGTCACAAAGCAGAACTAAATAATTTCAATTATATTAACTGAAAATTCTCCCGGTAGTTGTAAGCCATTCTGCAACAAGTAAATTTGACTAAGCTACTGCAATTTCTTTCCAATATTTTTAATTGCAAAAGCCAGCTAGAAATCAGATGTCCTCAATCAAGAAGCAATTGAGTGTCTCCAGGTACAAAACATTTATACATGTTCCCTACCCTTTTATTTCAGATAATTTGATTCTGCATCTTCAATGTCTGTAGTTTAACTCATTAATCAATAACTAAATCACACCTTATATTCCTTTGAAATTGAGTTGCTAACACTTATTGTATTGAAATGCACACAAACGTATTTTCCAAAGCAGTCTTTTTTTGACTGCACAAAAATAATGAAACTGATGACTGAAACTTATGGCATTTAGCATCTGAAGCACTATCTATTAATTCTAAGAATGAAGACAAAACTTTTTAAAAGAGATGCTGAAGTGGCTTTGAAATGAAAAAGAAAACATTCGTATACGTGTGCTCTTCTGCATCTTTGATTTTCCATAGCAAAAACCAAGTTGATCAGGCAGAATCTTTGTCTGGGAAATCTGTTCTGGTTATTCTCAAATAAATTATAACTATTTCTTTAGTGGATTACTACCATATGCCCAAATAAATGCATGCTTCTGTAGTAGTCTTCAGTGCTCTAGTTTCATTTTAATTCTTTCATCTTGAAAGATGAAAGCCTTGTCTTGGGCAACAGGTCGAATGCTTTGTAAGAAGAAACTTTAAATTTGTGTTTGGCTTAGTGGTACTTTCTCAATTAGCCTATAACCATTTTAAAACTTAAATTCCTCTAAGACCACTGATAACCAGGGATCAACCAGATTTTCAAACTCTTCACTTAAAACATTTCTTTATTGAACATATCTGTGGGCATTTGTATTTTTAGACAATTGACTTATTCTAACATCTCAGCTACTTCAGTTCACTGCTTTATTACTTTGATACATACAAATAGACACTTCTATTGACTGTATTACCAACCTAAGATGATGCCTACTATAGAATCTGTCTTACACAAGTTACCCTTTTTAAACTGAATCATTTTTTACAACTATATAAATATTTCTTTAACTTTTATTATTTTTATTTTATATATATATATATGTGTTGGGTTCTTTCTTTTTTTAAACATATATATATATATATATAATTTCATTTTAGGTTCTGGGGTACATGTGAAGAACATGCAGGATGGTTGCATAGGTACATACATGGCAACATGGTTTACTGCCTTCATCCCCATCACCTATACCTGACATTTCTCCCCATGTTATCCCTCCCAAACTCCCTACCCACTGCTGTCCCTCCTCTAGTCCCCCTCACCACAGACCTCTGTGTGATGCTCCCCTCCCTGGGTCCATATGTTCTCGTAGTTCAACACCTGCCTATGAGTGAGAACATGCAGTGTTTGATTTTCTGTTCTTGTATCAGTTTGCTGAGAATGATGGTTTCCAGGTTCATCCATGTCCCTACAAAGGACAAAAACTCATCGTTTATTATGGCTGCATAATATTCCATGGTGTATATGTGCCACATTTTCCCTGTCCAGTCTATCATCGATGGGCATTTGGGTTGGTTCCAAGTCTTTGCTAACATAAACAGTGCCACAATGAACATTTCGTGTGTATGTCTCCTTATAATAGAATGATTTATAATCCTTTGGGTATATACTCAGTAATGGGATTGGTGGGTCAAATGGAATTTCTATTTCTAGGTCCTTAAGGAATTGCCACACTGTCTTCCACAATGGTTGAACTAATTTACACTCCCACCAGCAGTGTCAATGAGTTTCTATTTCTCCACATCCTCTCCAGCATCTGTTGACTCCAGATATTTTAATGGTCGCCATTCTAACCGGCGTGAGATGGTATCTCAATGTGGTTTTGATTTGCATTTCTCTAATAACCAGTGATGATGAGCATTTTTTCATATGTTTGTTGGCCTCATATATGTCTTCTTTTGTAAAGTGTCTGTTCATATCTGTCACCTACTTTTGAATGAGTTGGTTTGTTTTTTTCTTGTAAATCTGTTTTAGTTCTTTGTAGATTCCGGATAGATGTCCTTTGTCAGATGGGTAGATTGCAAAAATTTTTTCCCATTCTATTGGTTGCCAGTTAACTCTAATGATTATTTCTTTTGCTGTGCGGAAGCTCTGGAGTTTAATTAGATCCCATTTGTCTATTTTGGCTTTTGTTGCCAATGCTTTTGGTATTTTAGTCTTGAAGTCCTTGCCTACGCCTATGTACTGAATGGTTTTGCCTAGGTTTTCTTCTAGGGATTTTATGGTTTTAGGTCTTATGTTTAAATCTTTAATACATTTTGAGTTAATTTTAGCGTATGGTGTCAGTTAGGGGTCCAGTTTCTGCTTTCCACACATGGCTAGCCAGTTTTCCCAACACCATTTATTAAACAGGGAATCCTTTCCCTATTGCTTGTTTTTGTGAGGTTTGTCCAAGATCAGATGGTTGTAGATGTGTTGCATTGCCTCCAAGGACTCTGTTCTATTCCATTAGTCTATATCTCTGTTTTGGTACCAGTACGATGCTGTTTTGATTACTGTAGCCTTGTAGTATAGTTTGAAGTCAGGTAGTGTGATACCTCCAGCTTTGTTCTATTTGCTTATA